GTTTGAATACTTGGTCCCTAGCTGGTGGCATTGTTTTGGGAGCTGTGGAATCTTGAAGAGGTGGAGCCTCTTGAAGGAAGTGAAGTTGTTTGCTGGAGTGAAGGGGAGGGGCTTCCTTGGGGGTCATAGCATGGCTGTACTTCCAGCATAATCTGCTCGGGACCTCTCTGTCTCTGTCTTACTTTCTCCTTCCTTAGGCTCTTGCCTCTATGCCAAAACAAACAAACAAACAAACAAACAAACAAACCCCAAAACCCCACACAAACCAAAAACAAACAAACAAAAACCCAAACCAAATAACAAGATAAAAACAACAACAAAAACAACCCCCTCATCCAAAACAACAACAACAACAACAAAACTGTAATAGACTAAATTCCCTCAGGTTGGGAGCCAAAACCAACCCCCCACCCCTTTAATGTGTCTTCATTGGGGAATTTTTTATCAGGGGCAAGAAAAGCAGCTCACACAGATGGGATGAGAAGAGACGAGGCTGGGTGTTGCATTGGGGTCAGCTTCGGGGAAAGCAAGGCTTTTTCATTTCTCTTGGCCGTCTCCACACTGTTTCTCTGTGGCTTTTTCTGTCCTTCACATGCTGGAGTCCCAGCACCTTTCCGCTTAAGTGTGGTTCTAGTCAGGTGAACCCCCAACTCACATAGGTGGAACAGTACCCTCCAGAAGATAGGAAATCCTATCTTAAATCCTAAATCCTAGCACTCTAGAATGTGAACTTATATGGAAAAAGGACATTATTGATATAATTACAGATGGTTCCTAGCATGATGTTTGGATGGTGATCTTCCCACTTTACACTGGTATGAAATGGTTTAAATGGGTATTCTTCTTTTTTAGTTTGTATTCATTTAATTTCATAAGAAACGAAAATTTTCATTATAAAATAGGCTTTGTGGTAGGTTTTGCTCAGCTGCAGGCTGGCATGTCTGAGGTAAACATGCTAAACCGTGACATTGGGTAGGTTAGTTGCACTAAATGTACTTTCACTTATAATAGGTTTATTGAGGGATAACCCCATCGTAATTGAAGGAGGAGCTGCCTGTGAGATCACACTGGGATAGGATGGGCCTTTAGTTCAACAGCACCGGTGTTCCCATAGAAAGGTGGCCATGTAAAGACACAGAGGGCCAGGGAAGGCCATGTGAGGATGGGGGCAGAGATGAAAGCAATTTGCCAGCCTCACCAGAGGCTGACAGGAGACGTAACTATGCCTTCACCTTCATCTTGGACTTTGAAGAGCTTGGAGTATAAATTTCTGTTGTTTTAATCCATGCAGCTGTGCGGGTTCCTTCCAGCTGCCCTTGGCAGGACCACTGCCCTCACTGCTGTTCGACGTCCAGTTCAGACGCCTTAGCAAAGCGTTTGAAGGCCCCTCCCCCACTGCTTTAAGTCGGCGCTGCAACGCCGCAGACTATTTGAATTTACACCAGCAAATATGGCTGACAAGTTTACTTGTGATGGAAAGAAATCATTTGCTATTCGCCGTTATTCCCCCAGTCTACTAAGATCCCGTGCCCGGAGCACCTTCTGTTTGAGGCCATCTGCAGCCCAGAGACAGTTGATGTGATGCAGTGAGCAGATGCCAGAGAGAAGCAGGGCACACAGGGCAAATGCAGGGCCAGGGATGTGGGTGTGGGAAGCTGTGGAAGCCAGGGAATGCACTGGCCAAGGCTGGTTCCCATCGGGCTCTGGAGGACAGAATTTGACGTCTCTAAGGGATGCTTAAAAGATCCTCCTGGCCCCCACCTCCATTCTTAGTGCAGAGCCTGGCAGCCTGGCACACAGTGGGCACGTGGGCTCGCTGTGCAGTGAGTGCAGGAACAGAGGCACAGCTGTGGGGTGCAAGATTCAGAAGGGGTGGGGGTGGGGACCAGTCTCTACCAAGGAGAGGAGATAAAGAAGAATGGGGAGGGAGAGCTGGGAGAGAGAAGTCAATGATATCCTTCTTTTAAGCATCCCTTAGAGATGTCAAATTTGCATACCTAAAATCCAAATAACAAGGAGAATGAGCGTGAGTGAAGAGGGGGTAGAATCGTAATGATAGGAAGAAAACACAAAGAGGAGGTGAAGAAAGGGCCTTGGAGATCCGTTTGTGCTAGAACAACAATAGCAATAACAGTAATAAAGACCAAGCTGTGGGGGAGACAGAACAGGAAGTGAGCAGGCTGAATTAACATAGGCATGGGGGATTCGGAGTCCAGAAATTACTCCCATATTATGTAACTGAGTGGATGGTTATGGTGAACTTGTTCTAAAATCAGAAGAGGTGTTTACAGGGCTGTCACACCCCTGAGGTAGGGCACTGCCGAGGACCGTGGAAGAGGGAAGAGAGAAGAGAGAAGCATCTGAGGGTTGGAAGCACAGCACAGGAGCTCAGGGGCCCTTTCAGAGGGGAGGGAGGAGAAGACGGATAATAATATGCTGGAGAGATAAATTAATAATACTGAGCTACCTCACCAGGGTGTGACGAGTGTTAATTAATTAATTATTGTTTGCAAAGCACTTTGAAGGTGGAAGGGCCCTATAATTATTATGAATAAAATGTCAGAGATAATAATCCAGCAGAATGCAGTGACCTCATCAGCCCCTCATTTGCATGGCGTAAAGTGAAGCAGCAATTCAAGGACTCTCTGCCAAAGAGGATGCCCGTTTTGATGCCCCACCTTTGCTTTGCCCCATCTCCCTGATGTCCCCAAAGCTGTGACCCCTGCTTCCTCGGCAGTGGGTCCGTGAGGAACGGTGTGAGATGATAGCCAAAGGTGATGAGCTCGATGATTTTAGGAGGGGCAGTGCTCTCATGCCACAAGTTGAGTAAACGCCGCACACCAATCAGATTTCAATGTTGGAAGCTGTTTTGTTTCGAAGGACATTGAAAATGTTGGTTTAGGCCTGCCCTTAGAGAGTAGGGTGGGCTGGGAGTGAGTGGTGGGGACAGTGGGGTGCGGGGAGGAGGAAGGACTCTGGGAGGAAGTAGGTGCCTACAGTGCGCTGGCTCAGGCTAGTGGGGAAATAGCAGTGAAGTGTCCCTGGTCGGGGCTCTGGGAGCTACTCTCCTAAACATAATAAGCAAATAACAATGGGGACCAGGGATGTAACTCACTAGAGCGGCTGCCTAGAGTATAGACGGTCCTGGATCCAATTCCCAGCACTCAGTAAAACCAGGTGTGGTGGTACACCCCTGTAATCTGAGCACTCTAGAGGTAGAGACAGTGAGATCACAAGTTCAAGGTTATCCTCAGATGCATAGAGAGTTCCAGGCCAGCAGAAGTTGCAGGAGACCCTCTCTCAAGCAAAGCAAAACAAATCAAACAAAAGAGCAACCGAAAAGTCCTACTCTTAAGTGTCCTGTGCCAGGCCTCACTAAAGGCACAGGGAAACAAGGCTAACTGCTTGAGGGATAAAACCTGAGGAATTGGGACCGTGGGGATGAGTATCTGGGCTGGGTACAGGGGTGTTAATCCTGAAAACCAGGACGTCTGAGGACAGTTGCTCTTTGCCAAATGCTTCCTCCTGATTCGAGTGATGGAGCATAAGAAGCACGTGGCCATTTGCCAGCCCTCGCCCGTGTGTCAGGGAAGCAGAGCCACCTCACTTGCAAGCCCTTCCTGTGGAAGGGAGACAGAGGCCCTTTTCCTAGGAGACAAGCACATGCAGAGAAGGAAGTGAAGAAGTGGCTGTCCCGCACAGACAGGATGTCACACCAGCTCACACCAGCTCATACACCACCCGGAAAACAATGCGGGCTCCTTTGATCTTGGTGAGACAAGACAGCTCACCTTGTGTTCATCCCATGTCCGCCCTGTGGGGGACCACGGGGCCAGTTCCAGAAGGTCAGAAGGCCCATGACCTTGCATTGTAAAAATGGAAAGGCCTGGCTTTTTATTGGGCCTATTTTGTTCTCCAAGAGACTCCCTGCAGAGGGGAGGCCAGACATCTAGCCTCAAAGAAAATTTCCTCATTCTGCCCTCGCAACCTCCACTGGAAGTTTGGCTAAGCTCAGAGACAGAAGCACCTGTTCCACATGGTCAGGTGGCTTCTGACTCCATTGCTGCGACCCTTGGTGGAGTTGAAGCTATGATTTTTTCCATTAGGACTTAGGTGGTCACAGATCCCAGGACCTGCTTCCAGAGTCTGTGGCACAGTAGGTTTGGGATGTGGCTCAACTGTGTGCTTTTTCCAGCAAATTCCCAGGCCATGCTCTTGCTGCCAGTCCAGAGACTACACTTAGAGACGTACTCATTTGGAGATGCGAGGAAGCTGGTTTTGGAAAGAGGGACAGGGTGTGTAAGTGGATACAGATTGAAGAACATGGATGCTGGGGACAGATGGAGAGGACGGCACCGGGAAACAGGAGCTAGGCTGTGAGAATCCCACACTGAATGGGAGCCATCCTGAGTGAAGCCAGAGCTTTTCTCCCCACCCACGGTGTGTGATGGTGTCCCTCCTCCATTTTCCCACCTCTCTGAGAGTCCCATACAAGCACAGGGCACCGGCCTTCGGAAATTTCAATGTTAAATGAGACAGAATTCAGGGAAGGCCCAGTACAGAGGTAGAGCTCCATGGTTATTAATAATTAGAACTCATTGGGAAATCTCACAGACAGAGAGGATCCTCGGAGGGCTGAGGAAGGGTTTGCCAAGTCCTCCTGACTTCTTCTCCCCGGCCATCCCCACCCTGCAAGTCAGTGCCTTTGAACTGGGACTTCAAAGAGAAGCGGGACTCTTTTCTTCAAACAGGTTTATAAAGAGATTTTGATACAAGACAACAATACTTGTCAGCAGTGCCCGGTTATCGCCCTTCCCTTTGTAGTTTTATTAGGAAATAATTTCTCTGCCGCTGCGGCTCCTGCTGGCTTGCCTTGTTTCTCCATTTGCGATCCGATCTGCCCACCAGAGGGGCTACCCTTCACTACGGTGCAGCTTTGCCAGCTGGGGGCTTCCAGAAAGACAGCACAGGAAGGCTCTCGTCGAGCTATTATCTGCCCCTCTCCTGCCCTAACCATCCTTGTGGTAAAAATGCAATTTGTTTGTCCTCTGGGGAGGTTTAAAATCTCAGCTCCTCAAAGCATCCTCCTCTTTATTATTTTAAAGAAGAGAATGAGGAAATTGGCTGGGAAATAAGCCTCGCCCTATAGAGGGCCCCGTGTCTGAGACAGGCAAAGGACTCTTGATGGATGGAAACTAAAAAGGCTGGCTCTGGAGGAATAGACCAAGGTAGGAGCTGCCCTTCTAAACAGGTCTAAGTTATAGCTTGCCAAACACTGTTTCCTTGATGCTGTTTTCCCATATTCAGTAGAACTGACAGTGAGAGGCATGGTGTCCTCCAGCCCCGGCTCTCAGCACAGGCTGGGAGAGCTGGGTACAGGCAGACAGACAGGTTTTGCTACCCGCAGTGAGGGAAGGACACCGGAAGGAGATTAACAGTGCTGGACCAGGGTCTTAGAGGGAGGGTGATGTAGGGCGGCAGGGGAAGGGATGAGTTTACAAAAGAGACCATTTAGATATGCTTCTGCCTCTGAAAGGAGCCAGCGAAGGGGACAGTGGAGACCCAGGTGGGAGGGCATTTAAGGGAATGTGATCCTGGGAGAGGTGGGACAGGGAGGAACAGAGACTTCAGGGGCGAGGGGTGGGGGTGGGGGGGGCAGCGACTCAGCAGGGGAAGAAAGGATACTTGCTTCTCTTTCTTCTTTCTGTTTCTACTTTGCTTCAGACAGAAACGTGGAAAAGGATGCCATCCACGGAGGGGTGGAGAGCAGTGGGTGTGAGCATGTTCACCTGGCTGACATTTGTTTGCTTTCTCTAGGAATTAGGAAATCAAGTTGTCTGTAGAGGGTCAGGTGGTGCCTCCGTGGGATCTAGGATGTTGATGGCAGGAGGAGCTTGGAGATCATTTATATTCAAAGGCCTCGTGGTTGACCCAGCATGGTTCTGAGGGATTTAGTTTTCCAAAGTAATTGCTATGTGGATTTGTGTTGCAGCGGGGACTCAAACTCTGGTCTGCTACCTTCAGAGGGTGAGTTTTCAAATCCAGCAGCCGCCTGCTACATCCCTGAGCAGAGTGGGAGATGGGGGATGGAGGGTGGTGGGGGTGTGGAGGTGTGTGTGTATGCAGCCTGGTTCCTCCCAGTGGGAGGACAGAGGAGGTAGGAGTTGAATGAGGCTCTTTGGCTCCCCACAGCTGTAGTGGTCAGGTTGGCCTCAGTGTCCCCCTAAGAAAAGACAGCTCAGAATAGCGAGGTGCTTGGTGTCATCTCACTGTGCAACAACATACTTGAGAGTCTGGGCATCCTAAAGTCACCCCAGCATCCCTCCGCTGCTGAAGTGTTTGCTGCCCCGGGGTTACTCATTCCACTCAACAGTTACCCTGCTGTGGTCCAAGAGATAGTCAAAAGCTGCCATTGCGAAGTCACAGCTTACAAAGCAGCCTCAACATTTGGAGTTTCTGAGTGGAATGTGTCGGACCAGAGGAGCACAAGAGGCCCACGGTTACTGCCGGGGCCCGTGCGGATGTCATACCCACTCCAAAGGCAGAGATGAGTACACAAGCTTCCCGGAGATCTGTGCAAACAATAATAAAAGGACAGTTTTCCGGTGTTGCTTTTCCACACAGTGGGAAATATTGACTGGTGAAGACCCTTTCCCATGAGTCTGGCTAGGGCAGATCTCGATCTCAGCCAGTCCTATAATTATAGGGTAGTCAGGACAAAAAAGTAGAGCTAGAAGACCATCACAAGAGTTGCAGTATCTGTGTATTTATTTGCATTTAGGGGTAGTAAGATGACCGACAGACATATCAAATGCAGCCCATCTACACAGCCTGTGAACTAAGAATAGTTTTTTATTTGTAAAAGGTTATTTTTTTTTAAAGAAATAAAACACAAAGACTATTTTACAGTGACTGTGTGTGGTCCACAAAGCTAACGTGGTAGCTAACTGGCCTTTTAATGAAGAAGATTGCCAACCCTCGATAACAAATGTATGCTTTTATCACGGAAAGAAAATAATGGAGTTGGATGATTCACCCGCAAAAAAGTTTTTAAATACTTGTCAAGTCCCTAACGTGGGGTGCCCTTATAACAAGATGTACATCCCATGTTGTTTGAGCACTGGTTTTCATGCCAGTCGTGTCCCTTATTCTCAGTCTTCACCTGGGCCTGAAGTCAGAAGTAAACCTTTGGAGGTCTTTGTGGCCTAAGGCCATAGAGCCCTCATGGCTCCTGGTCCAGATTTTCCTTTGAGTTGGAAGAGCAGCTGCGGGCCAGCCAGCTAGCTACCCTGTTGCAGATACTTGCCTGCACGGGAAGCTTATCTACCCAGGGGGCAACAGCTTAGGGAGTCTAGTGGCTATGACCAGGGGCCTTTGATGCTCACTGCCTGGGACCCCGACTCTGAACAACCAAACCCCAGGGACAGAGCCTTTGCCGTGCTCCAGAGCCTCCCTGTGGAGACAGCCAAATGAGCTAACATCTCCTGACAACCAGCAGCTGGTCAGGAGGAGCCTGGGCACATACAGCACACCAGTGCAAACACAGGTTGCTGGCGTTCCAGAAGGGAGGAGGGTTGGATTCCTGAAGCCAGAGAAGGAGAAGAGTGGCCTAGTGTGCTAGCACACAGGCGTCCAAAGCTAGCCTCTGTCACTCATTACTCAAGCTTTAAACAAGTAGCCCAGTGTCTTGGATCTTTGCAGTTGTTTTCTGTGCAAATGCAGATAACAATATCTACCTCCTTGGGTTGCTGGCGGTCTAACAAGATACAAAGAAATCAGACAAGAGGTAAAAGCAAATGTTACTAGAGCCTTTGTTATTAGATCTAAACACTTTACCTAAGGATCTGAAAGGAGTCCCATGAGAAGAAAGACGGAAGAGAGACAGAGAGACAGAGAGGATAATGTGTGAGTCAGCTAGACAAAGACAGAAACAGAGACACAAAATCACAACACAGAGAATGTTCTGGAGTGCAGCAATGGTGTAGAAAAAGCAAGGCTGGAAAGGAAATTGTAACTAAACTAGAATTAACCAGCTTTAATTAGCAAATAATAAGCACCAGAGGAAATCGGGGCTAGCAGGGGCTGCTCAGTGAACACACTGTGAACCATTCTTAGGGGTTTGCAAGAGAACAATCCAGAAGCCCATGGCTCAAAACCTAGCACTAGCCATGATCTGCAAGAGATTGGTTAGTGACCTGTGCTCCCTGGGCCTCAATTCCTGTGTCTGTAAAATGGGGTGATTATAATCACTTGGACTCACAGGGCACTGTGAACATGAGTGCTTGCCGTGCTCTGCATGAAACTGAGGACTGGATACCCCTAGATATCTAGTGTAACTATAAACAGATAGGCCAAGTCACGTGGCATCTATTAGGACCCAGGTCTCCATTAATGGTGAACCATGGAGACCCAAGCAGATTTCTCTTTGAGCAGACCTGTGGAGATTGAGTTCGCTTACAAAACAATAGCAACAATTCAGATCCTCCAATGGAGCATTGCTGAAGTCAAACCCCAGGCAGCTAATTCCTTTTCTCTTATTGGTTAATTTCCTTTGCTCTTGGTTGGGGGGAAAGTCAACTTTGAAAACATGCCTTGAAGTTCATAGATGTTTCTTTCATCTGATAGAGGGCTAATATACAAAATAGAAAAAGACTCAAGAAACTAGACATCAACAAGCCAAACAATCTAGTTAAAAAACTGGGATCTTAATAGAATTCTCAATAGAGGAATCTCAAATGGCTGAGAAACATTTCAAGAAATGTTCAACATTTTTAGCCATCAGGGAAATGCTGCTTTGAGATTCCATCTTACACCTGTCAGAATGGCTAAGATCAATAACACAAGTGACAGCTTATGCTGGCCAGGATGTGTGGAACGGGGAACACTCTCCTTTGCTGGTGAAAGTGCAAACTTGGACAACCACTATGGAAGTCAATATGGTGGTTCCTCAGAAAACTGGAAATCTGTCTACCTCAAGATCAAGCTAGCAATACTACTCTTGGACATATACCCAAAAGATGCTCAATCCTACCACAAGGACACATGCTCACCTATGTTCATAGAGGCTTTATTCATAATAGCCAGAAACTGGAAACAACCTGGTCCTTCAACCGAGGAACAGATAAAGAAAATGTGGTACATTACACAATGGAGTATTACTCAGCAGTTAAAAAAAATTGGCATTATGAAATTTATAGGCAAATGGATGGAACTAGAAAAAAATCATCCTGAGTGAGGTAGCCCAGACCCAGAAAGACAAATATGGTATATACTCACTTGTAAGTGGATGTTAGCTATAAAGTAAAGGATGATCATGCTACAGTCCAGTGACCCAGAGAGGCTAAGAAACAAGGAGGGCTCTGGGTGGGAGACACACATGGGTCTCCGTGGGAAGGGGAAATAGAATAGATTTTATGGGTGGACTGGGGTGTGTAGGGAGGTATAGGAAGGCTGGAATGGCTACCCACTACAGGGAGAGATCAGGTTGTGGGGGGATGGAGGGAGAAAGTTCAGGGAGAGACAAATGGAATTGGAGGGTATTTGAGGGGCAATGTGGAAACCTAGTGCAGTTGAAACTTCCTGTAATCATGAGGGTGACCCCAGGGAAGACTCCTAGTAATGGAGGATATGAAGCCTGAACCATCTATCTTTTGTAACCAGGCAAGGCTTCCAGGGGTGGAACTGGGACATCAACCCAACCACAAAACCTTGTACCTACAACCTGTTCTGTCTGCAAGATGTGCTAGGGCAATGGTGGTACAGAACTTGTAGGAGTGACCCACTAATGACTGGTCTAATTTGAGGTCTATGTCAAGAGAGGAAGCCCATGCCCAACACTGCCTGGATGACCAGGAACAAGAGGCTGGATAGCCCAGAGACCTAGGATAGAAACAAACATAATTGTCAAAAAAAAAAAAAAGACTCCTAATGCTATTGTCTATATTCAAATCAGTGCCTAGTCCAGTTGCCATCAGAGAGGCTTCCTCCAGCAGCTGATGGGAACACAGGCAGAGACCCACAGCCAAACATTAGGTGGAGAGAGAACCCAGGTTGGAGGTCTCAATTGGGTCACTCCCCTCGGAGCTCTCGGAACCTGCAGAAGAAGGGCAGGAGGAATTATGGGAGCCAGAGGAATCGAAGACACTGGGAGAGCATGTCCCTGCTGAATCAATTAAGCAGGGTTTATAGAGACTAAAGCAGCCATTTTAGAACTTGCATGGGCCTGCACTAGGTCCTTTGCATAGGTTATGTTTGTTGACTTGATGTTTTGGAGGAACTCCTGACAGTGGGAGTGAGGTTGTCTCTGACTCTTTTGCCTGTTCTTGGGACCCTTTTCCTTCTACTGGGTTGCCTCACCCAGCCTTGATGAGAGGGTTTGTGCCTAGTCTTATTGAATATTGTTGGCAATGTTCAGTTGATATCCTTGGGAGGCTTGGTCTTTTCTGGGGAGAGATAGAGTGGATCTAGGGGAGAGGGGAGGTGGGGGAGTTTAACCTGCAAACAACACTGCCTTCATGCATCCAGCTGTGAAAGATCCTGGACATGAGTCCAGTCAGCTAGCTGCCTGAGTGTGCTTTTCCCATAAGTGACATTGGGCAAGCTCTTCCTTGCTGGTTGCTTTCTAGAAGTCAATGGCATTGCATTACCCTACCCTAACAATCTGTTCTTCAAAGAGCTCCTCTCTCACATCTGTTGTAGTAGACTGACTGCAGCAATGGTACCCAATGACATCCTCATCCCAGCTGAGGAGCCTGTTGATGTCTGCCTGTATGAAGAGAGGAATTTTGAGAAAGTGAACACATGAAAGATCTTGAGCATGGAATGTATCAGCCTATTTTTGTTATTGTAATAAAAAGAAAACCCTGAGGCTTAGAAACTTTATTAAGAGGTTGATATTCATATTACAATTCTGAAGGCTCAAACGTCTGCATCTGGCAATGACCTTCTTGCTTCCAGAGTCCTAACATGGTTCAGGGAAGCACAAATAAAGAGAGGTTACCAATATGCAATCATGGGGTCTCTACAGA